TCCTGGGGTCTCCATGGAGTCCAGCCAGGAGCCGTGTAGACAGGCAGTCAGAGTGCTGTGTCCATGGCTGGGGCCAAGGCTGGGGCTGGGGCTGGGGCTGGGGCCTGGGGCAGAGCCACAGTCTACTCCCTGCACACCCCTGCCCATGGTACCCATGCCCATCACAGGAACATACAGGTAGCAGATCATGGCTTTGCCCTGGGCCCAGGCCCCAGCCCTGTGCTATCACCATCCCACAACCCCACCCTGTGATCCTGGCCTCACCCACCCATCCCATTTCTGAACACCATTCCCCACTCAACCACAGCCCCATCCCACATAGGGAGTTTTGGTCAGCTGTTGCTGGGGGGAGAGGGGAGGGGAGGGGAGGAGGGTGGGGAGGGTGCTGACCCAGCCCACTACAGGTCATCAAAATTCCCTACGTGGTCCACAGGCCCAAATAATTGCCCACCCTTACTGTATCCAGACAACCAGAACTCCCCTTTCTGCATCCCCTCGACAAACCTATTCCAGTTGCTTTAAACCTTCTTTCACAAACTAGGCCGATTGTGGAAGTCTGTTCATTCTCCTCTTGCTGAGCACGGTCCTATCCGATATCCACCTGCTCTAGACTGCAGAACTCTTCTCATTATCTCCTAGCAGTCCATATCTGGGGAGGCTCCTGGGCTTCCAACTGTTGCTCTTACCAGACATAGCTATTCCTAGATTATCCCTGGCCAATGCTTATCCAACCTCTCCTTGGAAACTTCCAGTCATGGAGATTCCACAACTTCCCTAGGTAATCTGTTCCACTCTTGCTGTTCTAAGTTATAAAGATTTTCCTGATGTCCAATCTAAATCTATTTCGATTCACATTCAAGCCTTTGGCATGCATCCTGCTCTCTGCAGCACTGGAAAAATATAGCAAACTACTATAACAGAAAAGATTAATAGATATACTTGATAAGGTAGCCCATAGGTAGCAGCAATGAAAACCTACATCATGCTAAAAAAATAAAACTCATACACATTTGTTAAACATCTGTTTTATCACCATTCTATTGCTCTGTTTACTAGCCTCCTTAACATAAACTATTTTTGGCTCCTAAATGTTTTAGTCATAGTTCCCATATATGACAATTTGCTAGGAATTTAAATGTCTAATACAGCATGATGTACATCCAAATATTACTTGGTTAGGATCTCATATAATGCCAGTAGGGGAAATACAGGAAACAGCTCATATTAAATTCCCTTTTTAACTTATCATGTCAACTATTAAGAAACGCAATGTTGCCAAGGCAACTGGTCCTGTTATGGCAAAGTACTCTCATGAGGGCTCTCATACTTAATGTTTTGAAACATCTGCTTAACTGTCCTGTAAAATGAAAGACTTCTATTGTGTAGCAGTCCTTTGTAGTTAGAGAGAGAGTTATGTGTGTTAGTCTGAAAGCAAGGCACAAGGTAGCGGAGGGTGACACCGATGTAACTAACTTGTTCAGAAATTAATGAGTTAGTCTCTAGGGTGCCACCTGGCCCTGCCTTCTCAGAATAAGTAAATCCCCCAAATCAGTTTCTTGCTAATATATAACCTACAACAAGGTTTCCTTCTGGCACTGAAACACCAACAATAGGATATTGAACCACATAATCATAGGGACCTCAAGGGCCATTAGGCACAACCACCAAAGAATAAGCTAGCCAGGACTGATCAGTAGATAAAGATCCTGGCAGTGGACACAGGTCTTGGATGAGGAACCCTGGCACTGGAAGGCCAGGAGCACTTCCTCTGATCTACCACTTCTGCCAAATTTGGCCTTAACCATAGGTCAGCCCTCTAAATTGCTTCCATGTCACTCCTCTGATTTCCTTCCATGTCACTCTTCTGGTTTCCTTCCCTTCCCCACTCCACACCATACATCCCATTCTTTCCTGTTCTGTAGCCATACATGGCTGGCCTCATTATACTTTACTTCCAAATCAGGGGAATATAAGGTATAACACCCAGTGCTGTTCTATAAATTGGTCAAAAGATGGCACTGACAGTCCCTTCCTCTGCAAATATTACCCATAAAGTGCATCTGAGCTATATCCACACAGAGTGGCATGCACAGGATGTAAAAAAACAGTTCTGGCATGCCATTGCTCTCAACTGATTAGTTATTAGATATTAAGATATTAAACTAGATAAGGAATGCAAGGTTTATTTACCAAAAGAAAAGTCCTCACTGTTCTTATTTTGTTAAGTTCAAGAAGAAGTTTTTGTGCCTTCTCATGGTTACTACAGTATTCATCGTAGATACGAAACCTGTCTTTCTGTAAAGACAAAGAAATACATCAGTCTTACATTAGTTGTCTTCAAAAAAGATGCTGATTATACAGTTTGGGAGGGGAGAAAAATAATAGAATCTGCATTTCGGAAGATCAACAATTTCAATCCTATCTTTACATGCAATTATTGTATGAAATTCCATACTTGTAGTCATTTTTAATTCTGCTTTTAATTAGAATTGTAAAGATAATTGATATGACAACATGACAAGAGTTTGCTAATATACTTCAGAGACCAGATTACTACAAATAAAACAGAGCAGGAGATTGCACAAACAGCTGTCTATTTGCAGACAGCATTATTCATCTGGCATGTGCAAGCATTTGTTTGCAAATGCAATCCACATCTGCACAGAGTATTACCTTTTAATATTCTCTCCCACAATATACAAACAAAAACTGTAATTAAATTACAACAAGAGACACACGCCAGTGATATTTTTTTACATCTGTAACTATGTGTAAAGAATTTGGAATTGGTCCTGAAATTGCAGAGCTTTAAACAATGATGGTGTGCACTCAAACAGGAAACACAAAGCTTGAATTGTACAGTTGGTATTCAAAAGTCCAGAAATATATGTTCTAATTTACTGAGGCATGTTGCCTTTATGACAAGTTATAAAAAAATTTAAAAGCAGAGGACACAGAGGTATTTACCAAAGTCTTACTATGTAACATTTACTAAAATTTCTACATTTTCTATTTCACAGCAGGTCGTTTCCTTTTTCATGTCCTTATGACAACATATGTAACAGAATTCGCAACTTTATTATTCAAAGAAAAACAGTCTCTGTGTTTAAATTAAACCAAATCATTTCAGAACAAGTAGCATGTGAATATGCATCACAGTTCCAACCAACATCAGAGGCTGGAGGCCAATTTGCTAAAAACAAAAAAAAATTCCATTTTACATGCTGAGGCTTTCTCGCCGTATTTTTTTTCTTTTTCTTCTTTTATTGGCAGAGAGAATAAACTTCAAGTGACCTTAAAGTACCCTAAATTATGCAATCCAGTCAGATTTTGTTCTCATGACTATCTGTATGCACACCACTATGGCAGTAATTAATGAAGACAGTCAGAAGAGAGAAAATCTTAATTGTAAAGTAGGCATAAAGGATAGCATACATAATAAAGAAAGCAGGTTCCAACTTCATGATGCGCAGTAGGTTCAGGCTGCAAACAGTCTTCCACCAGAGACAGGAAATCCTTGTGAACTGCAAGAATGTCTTCAATATTTGAAAACAACATCTGCAAGAAAATAAGACATAAATAAGTAAAATCATAAAATATAGAAAAGAAAAATGTGCACAATTAAAAACTAACCTTAACTGTCTCCTCTGTAACATTTTTATCAACTTTGGATGCAGCACACTGGATCATTCGTTGAAGGAATGCCTATAGGAAATGAGAAAATAGTATACTGATTTAATGTAGGTTTATTCAGGGATAACAGTACAGCTTTAAGCAAATGCATTTTACCATTTACCGGATGTTTTAAATACAGAAATAATAGCTTATAAGAGCATTATTCAGAACTGAACCAAACACCACTTTTAATGGTCATATCTAAGGCAGGGGTCAGCAATGCTTTTGGGCACAGTGCCAAAAAACACCCGCAACCTTACTGACAATGTTGGCATGCCAGAGGTAGATGGCGGGGGAGCTGTGAGGGGCCCGATCCTCTTTGTGGCAGTGCACACTGGACTCTTTCCCTACCATCCACCCAAAGGCGCACATACACCCGCCGCCAATAACAAGCTCCACAGACCCCAGCGCAGCTACAAAAAACATAAAACTCACTGCGAGGCCACTAAATCATGAATAAATCACTGATGTAGAAGAGCAGAATCAACTAGAAAGAAAAATTAGCTGAACAAGATGTTTAAGTTGGCTATATATTAGCCTGGTACAAAAGTTCATAGCTATCTCTTCTTCCTTTCCAAAACAAAACCTGGCCCCTGGAGTTTACATGAAAACCAAATCTGTAGCATCACTACTTATATTTGGTCTGGAAAAGCACTGGGGGAAAATAAAAAAACTTGCAATGAGATTTACTCCAAACTCAATAAATTACATGTAAAGTAACGTGTTTATCATTAAATTTCTACAAATTCATTCCTGTATCAAGAGTAAAGGATATTCTGAATTTTTTAACCAACTGAAAGATGAAAGGTTTACAGCACCGGTTGTTCACATTGACACATATCTTTTAGTCATTAAAACTGGCATAACCACTGCACAAATGTCATGTTTTTCATATCCACTTAGCATCAAGTCACTGTGCATTGTATACTGTATATGAACTCATCTAAATTCTAGTGCAGTACAAATTCCATAGAAGAGGCCATAAATAACCCCCATTAAGAGAAGGCTAGCATTCACAGGATTCCTTTTTTTCCATTGTGCCTTACAAATTTTAATTCTTAAGAGGATTTCCTCCCTTTCCACTAAGAATAATTTGTTACTAGAGACATTTTTATTATTAGATGGAGAAAAAAGCAAATGTAGGTTTCCAAGATATATACACAACTGAAGATTGATACTGCATATTTGTTTAAATGTTTAACAATAGTTTTTGTGCTCATATTAAAGAAAAGTTCCTGCCCTGCTCATCTGTGATTTTTTTCCCTGTTTACTGATGTTAACTCTACCAATACGATTTGTAAAAGCATAACTAGAATTTGGCGTATTTATTTTAAATTCTTCCTTATTATAATACATCAGGGACTAACATGCCACATTTACTTTGTGAATCAACTATGCAGTGCACCAGCATTCCAACATGCAAAGAAAAGTGTGCTTAACTTCTGCTATGTGCTTATGAATTCCTTCTTGCCAAATTGGATTTTCCCAAACCTTCCAAGATAGAATTAAATATGCTTTAGGAATCTAGCACTATGAGATAATAAAGCCAGTAATGAGAGAACCACCATTAAAATGTATATAATAAACCATATTTTTTCAGCTAAGAAGCACTATTTGCCACTATCCCCAACTATGTGAAACCTCTCTGCTCACTATTTTTCCTATACACAAAACAGGGAATTTTCACTGTCTTTAGCCAATTCTGTTTTCCCAAGAAAACATTATTTTCTGCAACCTTGAGAAAAGGTGAATCCCAATGTGTGCTGGGTGCAAAACCAAGATGATTTGCAAATCCAAGTTTTAATTATAATAATTTAGGTCTTTAATTCAGAGTTTGCACTAGGGAGCATAGAAAGAGAAGGCAAGAATATATGTACATAGGAAATAGAGACTTACTTTCAACACAGCAGCATTGTCTTGTTCTCCATAATCCCTATATTGGTGTCATAAACTGGACTGCAAGACAGCCCAACAGACTACTCCACACAAAAAGAGGAAAGGGAAAAGGGAAAAAGGAAAAACAGACATACAAGTCCTCTAACCAAACCATAATAACCTCAAGGTTGCAATGAGCAATAAACCCAACAGGTAGATAGGATGTCTAAAAAAAACCATAAGAGAACCTTGAGAGAATTTGTACATTGTGACTGCAATAGGAAGTGAGGATGGGAAAGTAAGAAATACTGCCAGGCGCAGAGGCCCCACCACTGTACTCCACACAAAGGTAACAACGGGAAAAAAAGAAAGTTTCCAAGTGACAGAAAAAAAAGAAAAGCAAAGCAGGGGGCAGGGTAAGTACACAGAATGGTAAAACAGCACAGATAGCTGCATCAGACCCACCTCTTTTCCAAATACCTCTCCCAATCAGAACTTGATTTCCAGCACTGTGCAGGATGGTCATTCTGGGTAAGCAGACTCCAGAAGTTTTGTCAGGTTTTTGGTTTAGAGTAGCAACAAAACATGAAACAAGTTGATATTCTGCTCTGTATAATGGTAACTACTGCAGAGGATATTATTCTTTTCAGAAGGCTTTAACATCACTTATATGAAACAGTTCAATACAATTAAAGTAATACTGGGTAAATATTTCACGTCATGCTATGGTGAAGTTTTTTTTTAACAGGCATGAATTCACTTACACACATAAAAGGGTAAAGTCAGTGAATGTTTTCACAGCAGCCCTATAAGGCCTGAGGAGAAAAGAGTGAAGAACATGTTAAAGATGATCTTGTTTTAGAGCTGAGGGACAGCCACCTATAACAAAGACTTCAAAATAATGTAAACCTTACATCAGAGGCAGCCAAGAACACAGTTCTCTAAAATCAGTACATATAGAAGCAACAGACTACACAGGAACACCTTTTTAAAAAATTTATAAATTTATTTAAAATACAAAAATCAGAAAAACATATACATCAACTTTAAATATAAAACCAAATTATGTCACTGGAAGTAAGCAATAAAAGAAAATAAGAGGGTGGAAGAGAGAGGGATAGAACAAAAGAGAAATGTACAATAAACAACAATCTAGCTACCAAAATATTTGAAGAATTCCTTCCAAATTTCACCGAATTTTTCAAAGCTGTTAAATCTGCTAAACATGACTCTCCATACATGCTACATGTGCCATTTCATTGTACCAGATTGCAAACTTTGGAGATGGCCTACTTTTCCAATGCAGCAAATAAACTTGCATGTTACTAAAAAGGCCTGCTGTAAAAGTGCCATTTGGGAAGGATTTAGTTTGAATTCCTTGGGGTTATACCCAAGAACACATATATTTGCCAAAGGTATCAGTGCTGTGTTCAGACCACATTAACTCTAGTTAAAATTTCTTTTAAAAAGCAATTCATAACAGGGCATCACCAAAGCATGTGACTAAATGTTGTTTGTAATGAACCTCCAACATGTATCTAGTGGCACCATATTTAATGTTCAGCCCACTGCAGAAGAATAAATCTGTTACTGTACAAGATGATGTCTAAGATCAATTGTTGATGTCTGAATATTGTGAACTACAGATTTTCACTGGCATTCTGTCATTTGGATAGCCAAGTCTCTGTTCCATTAAAGTCTTAAATAGTTTGTATAAGGTCTGTTATGTGGCATTATATATTTACAGAGTGGTTGCACAGGATAGGGAAAAGCAAAAAGGGCAAATTATACATGTATATTTATATATACACATCTATAGATAGATAGATAGATAGATAGATAGATGTGGAGAATTTCCTGTATCTAAAGCCTAAGGTCCAAACTAATTTTCTAATACTCCATGCAACCACATAAGTTGCCACTCAACTTTTTCTGGAAGGTCAAATTCACATAACTCAGAAAAGGACTTAATATGACTTCCTACTAGAACTGTTAGAACTGCACAATACTCTTTCTCCACCTATTTTCTCCATATTAATTTGTAGTACCCATCCTCCAAAAAAAAAATCTCCATATAGAAACCATACAAAATAGCACAAGATGAAAGTTCAGCATGTATGCCAATTTTTTCCAAGCTTCTTGAACTGCAAAAATGGTAGGAATACAAAGACTGATAAGTAGAGCTTATGATCATCAATAACGGAAGGGGAAATTTCTGTTCAATTTCCACCCATAAAATAGTTTTTGTGCTCATATTAAAGAAAAGTTCCTGTTATACAGGTCATCCTGTACACAGCCTGAGAATAACTGAGAAGGTATAGTGATATTGTTGAAGATTTGGAAAATTAAAGTTACCACTTTAGTTGCTGGTGGCAGGCCTGCAGTAACACTGCCTGGCTGCTTGTAACATGCTGGAGGTACAGGCAGGAGCTCTAGGGGACAGTTTGGAGGCTCCTGGTCCCGGGCATGATGTAAAACTGCATCCTGCCAGGAGTGGGTGGCTCTCAATGGTGTGGGAGCCCCCAGGAAATGCCAGGCCAATTATCACCCCAGTGAAAGGTGGTTCGGGGCACCTTAACTCCAGCCCTCATCTTCAGGTGGGTCATTTACCATCAGAGCAGGTTAGGCTAGGTAAGCTTCTGGAGGTGCCTGAGCCTGCTGGGGGTGTGCAGGGCCAGGCACGCTTCCAGGATCACCTGAGCCGGGAGTGGGGGACCCCAATCCCTAAGTGCAGGCAGGAGGCGAAAACCCACCCCGAGGCACTCAACTGGTCAATACGGAGGCCAGGACCGGAAAGGTCAAAAGGGCCAGGGGCCCACCATGAGGGACGCCCATGATAAGCGAAGAAGCTCGGTGTCCCGACTGGCCCAAGCTGGGGCCAGGGCTTACAGAAGCTGAAGGTCCCCAAGATCAGGGGCCACAGGTAATGGGCAAAGGGGATGGTTGAGCCAACTGCCTGAGATGCCATCTGCGAGGCTTGGGCCATGGTGTACGGGTGGAACGGAGCTGCAGATAGACCCCCAATATTGGGGTGTAAAATGGGCAGCCTCCCACCTTCATTGACAACCTTAATTAATTAACAACAAGGCATGGTGGGCAGCGTGCCCAGAGGCAGGTGAGAAACTAGCTCTGTGGCTAGCTAGGGACACCCACTT